AAGGCAGACGCTTAACGATTGAGCAACCCAGACGCCCCCAAGTCCTTACTATTTTTATTTTCTTCCAAATCTTGGACTTTTTAAAAACTTTTTTTTTTTTTTTTAAGAGAGAGAAGGAGAGAGGAGGAGGGTAGGAGCAGAGGGAGACAGGGAATCTTAAAGCAGGCATTATGCCCATTGCAGAGCCCAACTCCAGGCTCAGTCTCATGACCCTGAGATCATGACCCTAGCCGAAATCAAGAGTTGGACACTTAACTGACTGAGCCACCCAGGTGCTCCCCAAATCTTGGACTTCTGAAGTGTTCCATTTACCATCTGTTTCTCTGATGCCTCCTTGGCCTTACTTTTTCACAGCTGAGCCTGCTGTGTTGGCTCAGGTGTTTCTGGAAGTTGGGTAGTGTCTGATGGTTAGCCCATGTCACATGTCCTAGCCGCAGAGAAATGGGAAGGGGTATGTTTCTGAGGTCTGCTTGCTGGCTGTGTCTTGACTGAGGGTGTTGTGCTTTTTAATTACCACTTATCATTCCAGGCAGAGGAGTATCACAGCAGTCAGTGAACTGATCCATGTCTAGCTACTTGACTTTCTGCAAGTAGTCTGCCTTTTCTGTCTTACGAAGGGGAGGAGTTCTAGAAACTGAAAGAAGAATCACAGATGTATCTCATTGGTCAGGTGAGGAATGCTGATACCAATGGACTTTTAAATGGGCATTTCTTTATGTCTGGGAATAGTTTCATGCTTTTGCCTCTCTCATTTCTGTGAGGCTCCCACGGGGTCAGCAGCCATCTGACCAAACTTGAGAAAACTAGCAGGCTTCAGTTCAGTGGAAGTAACATAAAGTAGGACAATTGATACAGATAACATTGATTGGTCACACTTTGAATTCAGTTGGTAGTAGAGTTGGAAACTTAAGGGGCAGGATCCTAAGGAAGGTATTTAAGGTTGATTTTGTGACTCTCCCCACTGCTGGTCATGGGGAGTTGGGTTTGATTGTATTCATGAAGCAAAGTCGCCATCCTTGGGCCCAGCTGCTAAAGTCTGAAATCGTGGTGTTTATGGGCTGGAACACATCATCCTAGGGGTCATTATATCAATTTTATTGGGAACATGAGTGCAGGATCTGGTTCAATTCCAAGGAATGGCTGTTGGTGGTTCCTTGGGTGAGTGAAGAGTCAGGAGGTTCCCTTGTGGTTCTGTCACCTTCCAGTGCTTGAGTTTTGTATTCAATGGGTTCTTATTTTACTGATGACAAAACTGAGTTCCAGAGAAGTGAAATGGGCTATATACCTTTTTTAGGGCCATCAGCATATTACTGGCAGAGCTGAGACTCAAGCCAGAGGATTCACAGAGGGTGGCCGGAGAAGTTGTTAAAATTATTTAAAGCCTTATAAAGATGCAAGATGCCATTGCAGTTAAAAATCTCCAGGGAGGGAGAAGTCCCCACCTCCACTGACTGCTTTATTCATTATCTTAAAACCTTCACTGGTGAGGTTTTTGGCTGTCATGCTGATTTCTTTCCTTTTCGTGTTGAAGTGTGTTTCCTCTTGATCTTACCCCAGAGGAAATAGATTTGAAGCTTCCCACTATTTTAGAAACAGAACAAGTGCTCAGGCCAGGCTGCTCTGAGGGTGTTCTGTAAAGAATGGGGCCAATGCACCAGTGGACCTTATCTGGTGACCAAAGCAAACCCGTGATACATCACTAAAAGAAAAAGAGTAAGGGAATGAATGGTGTGTCAGAGTGGTTTAAGAACATTCTGGAGGGGCACCTGGGTGGCTCAGTTGGTTGGGCGTCTGCCTTTGGCTCAGGTCATGGTCCTGGGATTGAGCCTCGCATCAGACTCTTTGCTTGGCAGGGAAGCCAGCTTCTCTTCTCCCTCTGTCTGCAGCTCTCCCTGCTTGTGCTCTCTCTCTCTCTGTCAAATAAATAAAATCTTAAAAAAAAAAAACCACAAACATTCTGGAGTCAGCTTACTTGGTCATATTTTGCTGTTTACTTACTAGCTGTCAGGTCCTGGACAAGTTACTCATTTTCTCTAAGCCTTAATTTCATGATCTGTAGGATGGGACTAGTAATAGTTCCTCTTGGAACTGTTTTGAGAATTACTTGAGAGAATACATATGGAAAGTGGTTCCTCTGGCATAGTATAAGTGCTCTGTGTTATCACTTATGTCAACAACAGTAGTTTCTTTTTTTTTTTAAAGATTTTTTTTTATTTACTTGAGAGAGCGAGAATGAGAGAGAGAGAGAGTACATGAGAGGGGGGAGGGTCAGAGGGAGAAGCAGGCTCCTCGCTGAGCAGGGAGCCTGATGCGGGACTCGATCCCAGGACTCCGGGATCATGAACCTGAGCCGAAGGCAGTCGCTTAACCAACTGAGCCACCCAGGCGCCCTGTAAATGTCTTTTTATAACTTGCATCAGCCTCGATTGTAATTTATATATTCATTCTGTGAATTACCATTGATGCACTAGATATTTTTTGAACATTTATTATTTATCCTCATGGTACTAGGCAGTGACACAAGCTAGAATTATTCCTGGGCTACTCTTGCTAGCCTCCTGGGTGTTCCATGGAAAAAGTGAGCTGATACCTGTCCTTTCCCACCCAGTCCCAGGAAAGTGACCTATGTAGACCTTTCTGAAAAAAACCTGGCACTTCCCACTCAACTATTGCCCAGAGGCTTGTTCTCCTTCCCCAGGCTACTAACCAAAGTTTGCTCACAGCTGCAAAGTCAATTTCCCATCTGTTTGAAGTAAACATAATCAAGAAAGTAGATCAACTGCTAGAAGCCCACATAATACACTGGAAATGGAAAAGAACTCGAGGCCGGTTGATTGTTTCCTCTTGGAGAATACCTGCTCTTTGGCGGAAGTTACTACTTGTTTGGATTGTCGTTTTCTCCACTCCTGAATGTCTGGGAATCATTGTGTCTGGACTCTCAGGCCTGAGGGAGCAGTCCATTTTACTAGTCAGATTAAACTCCTCTGGTCAAGGGGTAGGTCTTATCATGGAAAGAGAAGGGGACTTTGGGAGGAACCCAAATCTGCCTTACATTCTCAGTTTTATGACTGTATGACCTTGTACAAGTTCAACTTCTTTGAGCCTTAGCTTCCCCATCGATAAAAAGGGGATGACAGTTCTGATCTTTGGAAGTTATTAGAAGTAAACATATACGCAGCACCTGGCACATAAGAGATATTCAGGGGGTAGAGCAGAATTTGAGCTGTGGAGGACTGTAACTTTGAAAATGATTGGTCGTTGTCAATTCACACAGTATATAAATATCAAAAATAAATGACTTGCTGGTGACCTATCCGCACGAATTTTCAAAGGACTATTTTTACTGCTCGAGACACGGATGTATCCCATTTTGAGTGGCAACAGCTTGATTTATCTTTACTTCTCACGTCCTCTGGTTTCCTTCTGTTGTTCCTTCCGCGAGAAAGAAATTAGACTGTTGGGAAATCACAGATGAAACTTCGAAGTCCCATTTTGATCTGGCTTGGAAGCAAAATCAAGTCCGTGGGGATCTCTTTCGGACGACTCTCACTCTGGCGGAGGGATACAGGGGAAAATCACTCCATCAGAGGTGGCGCTAGAAGGCGGGACTTAGCAGAGGCGGGGAGAGAGGCGGGGCTTAACTTTGCCAGCGGGAGAGGCAGGCGGCCGCACATCTTTCTGGAAGGCGGCAATTGGGAGAGACGGCGAGTGACGTAATAACTGCGCGCTCACAGCTTCAGAGGGTCGCCGCCGCGTCTGCGCATGGGGAGCTGGTTGCCGCTGCAGCCGCCTGGAATTGTGGGGATTGTGTCTGCCCCTCGGCTGGCGGGCGGGAAGCCGAAGGTAGGGGCGGTGAGGGCCGCCCGGTCATGGAGGTGGGCGGGGGGCTCCGGGCGCTGTCCGAGCCTCCTCCCACCGGCGGCTCCGGCGCGTTCCCAGCACTGTACCGGGGCCCCCAGACAGGACCCCCACCCCCAAATACATCTCGTTCCTCCAAAGCGGGACGACCAAGTGAACCCTGGCCAGAGCCCAGGAGTCGCCTTACCTACCTTTTCTGTTCAGGTCGTCTCTAGTAACTTTTCTTAAGTCCCAGGAGATGAGGCGGTGGGGATTCCGAGACTAGCTTTTGATTCTCTGTTTCATCTTCCTTCCCTGTTTCCTTCTCCCACCCTCAGTTTCTGCATTTAACCGCTTCTTTGTTGACATTCTGGTTCTTGGCCGAGGCCTCTATGTGTCTTCACCATATGGAATTGTCCTCTACCCGCGTCGTATTTCCACGCCTGACATGTGTTTTCCTGTTTCCCGGTAGATGGAAGACTTGTCTTTGAAGTACGGATTTCAGACTTCGGTGTTTTTCAAATCACCTAGGAGGTTGTGTACATCCCTGGCCTCTACTCAGTGATTTCATTTAAAGTGGAATATGGGCACCTGCAGTGCTCCCCAGGTGATTCTCTTTCTGATGGTCCTGAAATTCTTGCTTTGAGAGTCTCTCCTGTAGAAGACTGGAGGGAATCCGTTGGGAAAGAACACCTAACACCTGGGAGGCCAGTGGGGGTTTCTTTGCACTCTAGAAGCTAGAGGGATGTTTGATGTCTTTAAAAAAAAATACTGCCCCCCATATGTAATGTCAGTTTTCTACTAAAAAATTTAAAATATCTGGCATTGATTCAAGCTTGTGTGGCTTTCTGACCTCACTAAAACAAAACAAAAGCACACACTGCTTTGGGGGGATTGAAGGGGTTAGATTAACCCAGAGTAGGTAGGCAGTGGGAGAATGAATCTTACATGTTTGCTAAGAAAAGAAACTGATGTGTTTATAAACAGTAATAATCTTTGTTTTGACAGTGTAAAAGATGTTTTGTTTTATATCTGTTTGTCTTTTTAGCTCTCACTCCACCCAAGCTTTTTTTTTGTTGTCTGATAAAAATATAGCCAGATTTGGGGTTTGGACAGGATTTTGATGGGAGCCAGGGTATGAGGATGTTAGGATTGATGTATAACATGGATTGTAAGTTGGTGTGTGGTTTCAGTTGAAAATATGGCTCTTAGGTTTTTAAGAAGGTGTTGCCACACCAGATTTATGTTTTTCTTTTGGTTGTTTAATGAATTTAATCTGCTAATTATGTGGTGTTATGATGAAATTGGCTACGGAAAAGACTTATTGCCCCCATTTTACAGAGGGTGGGAATGGGGAATATATTAGTACAGCTGTGGTGACCCAGGAATGAAAAGTTGCCTTGTTCTTGGATTCCTGCTTTCTTGACCTTTTCTGATGTCTTTGGAGACCAGTCATTCTCTGCAGAGTCCAACTTTGAGGGTCAGTGTGTTTCATTGACCCAGTAAAAGGCTAATTAAGCGAAACTGAAAAGTTAACAACATGGGTTTTAAAATAAACGTGCTAGAACTTTTTCATTGAGTGCTGTTCTCCTTTAGAGTGGTATGTGTAGGTGTGAGTGGTGGGAGTGTGGCCTTATTTAAGTGATATGTCATTGTCCAAAGCAGTTTTGAAAATCTACCTCTGAGATTGTCTTCAGAGACATTTTTGAGCCATGTTAGCGATCAGTTTCATTAATACATAATACCATACTGTTGGTTTTTTTTTTTTTTTTACCCCCAAGTGGCTTGGTTAAAGCAACCTTGTCACCCGACTTGTCTTCAGATGAGTAAAAAGTTCTTTTGAAGTGGACATAATAGATTTTTGGTGTGTGGTGAACATGTTTTGAATCTGTCACTTATTAGCCATATGACCTTGCACAAGTCACCTCTTAGGCTCAGTTTTCCACTGCATAAAAATGGGAATACTGGAGCACCTGCCTGGCTTAGTCAGTGGAGCATGGGACTCTTGATCTTGGGGTTGTAAGTTCGAGCCCTATGTTGGGTATAGAGATTACTTTAAAACTCTTTTTTTTTTTTTTAAAGATTTTATTTATTTATTTGAGAGAGAGAATGAGAGACAGAGAGCATGAGAGGGGGGAGGGTCAGAGGGAGAAGCAGACTCCCTGCCGAACAGGGAGCCCGATGCGGGACTCGATCCCGGGACTCCAGGATCATGACCTGAGAGAGACAGAGAGCATGAGAGGGGGGAGGGTCAGAGGGAGAAGCAGACTCCCTGCCGAACAGGGAGCCCGATGCGGGACTCGATCCCGGGACTCCAGGATCATGACCTGAGCCGAAGGCAGTCGCTTAACCAACTGAGCCACCCAGGCGCCCCTAAAATTCTTTAAAAAAAAATGGGAATGCTTCCTTGGAAGAATGGTTGAGGAGGAACACATTAATGACATAGGAATGCAGTAACTGTTTCTACCCTCAAAGAATGAAGATTTGCTATTAATGACAACAGTTCATTATCTTTGTCGATTCATGCTCTGACTTCATCCTACTTCTTGCCTTTTTTCCCCCCACTCATTTTCTTTTTTTTAAAGATTTTATTTATTTCCTCAGTGAAGCTGTGTTGCAGAGGCTGTCTGCCAGTCTCTTGGAGTAAGCCTCTTTTCAGGAGAGCTGATCGGAACATTCTTACAATGCTAGCCCCTTGGTCATGTATTCCTGGGGATTTTTCTTTGGGGCCGCCGCTGGTGCTTAGCTCACGCTCTGTACCACAGGCATCTCTAACTCCTGGATTTGGTGTCAATTTGGAGACCTGTCCTTGTGAGGCTAATCTTTTCTCTTTCTGAACAAGGGTGACTACTTTATCCTTCTCTGAGTCAGTCTTAAGCTGCAGGCCTTAGTTTTTCACAGCACAGAGCTTCTTATTTTAATTATATGTGGTCTAAAGGGGCAGTATCCTGCCCTTTTCTTCGTGTTCTTTCACCGAGGGCTTCCCTGCTGAGTAGGGGAGGAGAATAGCCCCTTGCCATTCAGGTGGGGCTTTGGGTAACCCCTGATTCCTAGCATCAACAGTAATTGAGTTTGTCTTTGGAATAAGAACCTTGTAAAAGATAAAAGCTGCTCAGGACACATGTGAAGATTCTCCCAGAATTTTACTGACTTAGGAAGGGTTTACACTTGGCATCCTTCCTTGTGCTATTTTCCACCTTGGAGACAGAATCGAGGAGCAACAGACTCATGTTCAGCACACACTTGTATTTCCTTCAGGTTCCACCCGGTGGCGCATGGGTAAGGGTGTGGTTGTGTTGGCTGGCCATGTCTGCTCTCATCCTCCTAACAGTGCCCTTGGGTTTGGTGTTTTAGGCTTTGAGATGTGTCTTAGTCACTTATGGGCCGCTATAGAATACCATAGACTGGATGGCTTAAATAGCAAACATACATTTCTCCCCTTTCTAGAGATTGGAAGTGTGAGATCAGGGTGCCAGTGTGGTCAGGTTCTTAAAGGTAGTGGGTCAGCTCTTTAGACATCTAATCAAGTGATTCTCAACCTTTTGTTCACTATCACCTTTTGAGACTTTTTCCCCTAATTGTCCCCTCCCCATGGAATTTCAATACCACAGATATACCATGTATCCACTTGTACTGTGGCCCTTTGGAAGGCCATAAACTTACAATATCTAAGATTTTTCTTCCCGAAGAATCATTCCCTGCCCCGCTTGGGGGCGATACTGCCCTCATTGAGAATGCATGGTCTTACCTATATTCTCTCTCTAATACAGCCATCAAGGCATGTTTTATATCCAAAAGATCCACCTGTTACCACCCCAACACCAGACTAGTAAAAGTGGGAGAACATTATCTCATCCAGTCTTCCAATCAACCTTGTAAAATAATTGGTATTACCCCATTTTACAGAAGAAAAAATAGGCTCAGTGAAGTTAAGTGACTTGGCCAAGGTCAAAAAGTTTGTTGTAGCCAGGCTTTCAACCCAGTTCTGATGCCACGGTGATTTCTTTTGCACTATGCTACCCTCCTCCTCTCAACATGAGCCTGCTCTCATCAGCAGGATATTTGACCATTCACCTTATTTTCTTAAGGCCCTCCTAGGTGCCAGGTCCAGTGGAAGATATTGAGGACACTAAAGTGAGAAAGAATTCCTGCTCTTGAAGAGCTCACTAAGTTTTCCCAAGGTGTGGTGCCTTAGGTCTAGTTCCCTTGTTACCCATCCTGTTTGACTTCTCCTGAGATGGCTGGCAGTAGCTAAGGGCTGTCATGGAAAGATTTGAGGTAAAATCTTTGGCCTTTATAAGGATCAAAGCTGTGAATATGTCCCTCCTGGTTCCATTTGCCAACCAGCTGAGCTGTTTCTAATCGCTGAGCCTGTTGCCTAAAGTGTGTTGCAGGCCCAGGAAACTCCTTGGCCATTACGTGTTTATAAGCATGGGGATTAGTAAGAATGCCATTTCTGCTTTACTTAATGATATTCCTTTTTTTTTTTTTTAAAGGTTTTATTTATTTATTTGACAGAGCACAAGTAGGCAGAGCTGCAGGCAGAGGGAGAAGGAGAAGCAGGCTCTCCACTGAGCAGGGAGCCCGATGCGGGGCTCGATCCCAGGACCCCGGGATCATGACCTGAGCTGAAGGCAGCTGCTTAATCCACTGAGCCACCCAGGCGCCCCTTCTTAATGATATTCCTAATTCAGAGCAGAAGTTGTTTTGTCCTTTTCTGATGTTACTCCATATTGTCTGCCTCAAAACCTAATGCTGTTAAGAGAGTTGGAGAAGAAATGGAGTATGTGTGGAGGTAGAGGTGGGAGGGATGATTTTTACCTGGACTTCTCCAAAGGGGCTAGAATTGAGTTTAATCTTTACTATTTTTTTTTTTTAAAGATTTTATTTATTTGACAGAG